ATTTATTTTCAGACCAGCCACTTCTCCAAATTTCTCGATTTTCTGCAAGAGTTTATCAGCTGTTTCCAATGGTTCCTCTAAAATAAAACCCAAGTCATCCGCAAAGGCCTGTAGTTTATATTTCTGGTCATGGTGTTTGTGCAGGAAAACTACAAATGATTGATGATTTATATCTCACTTTCTTGTATTACATTTTCTTAAAAAGTTTACATAATGCTACCCAAGAGAAAAGATGCTAGGCTGCCCAGAAATTGATGAATGTCTCTCCATTTCTGTTTTAAGTAATTTTATTGCTTTCAAGTTTCCACTTTCATTTGCCTCATTTCCATATCATCTTGAGATTGTTTTGATTGTACAACAATATTTCTTTTGATGTGCCTGTCTCTTTACTCATGTACATTAGAGGATTTTTACAATGCATTCTTGACTTTTATGTACATTTTTATTTTTATGTTGTTTCAGTAATATATTCATGGAGGGTTACTTTTCCCTAGGATCTGCAACTTGCTACATATTATTTTGATTGAAAAAGTACACTGCAAAGTTCAGAGAAGGGTACAGTGAAGGGAAGAATTGTGTCTCGGTCCATGTAGTTAAATGTGCAGAATTAGGTCTGATTGTCTAAACATTTGAACTCAACATATTTAACATCAAGCCAAAACTGGTATTACCATAGCTTGGAGATTCGGGGAAATACAAGGAATCTGCTTTGATTAAGTGATATTTCTAGAGATTCTCTTTTGCCTCAAATAACTGTAGCAAGAATAATCTCTTCTCTCAAAGGGTTCCATGTAAATATTGAGGCAAAATGAGAAGAAGTGGCAACTTGGTAAAATAGAACATGTCCTTTTACAAAATGGCTGCCACTACAGGCATGACCAGTCACAAGTGTTTGGCCAAAGGACTAGGGCTAAGGTTGAATATTGGCTAGAGAGAATTGGGGAATGCAAAGGTAGACACTGAACTGAAAGAGCTGGATTCTCCTGCTGTCAAACCAGAAGGACTCTGAAGGACGGGAGAGAGAGTGGCTATACCAGCCCCAACCTAAAATAGCCAATAGGAACAGGGCAGATCCCAATCACTAGGAGTTAAGTGACCACAAAAAATCCAAGGAAGCATGTCAGATTTATTGGATTAAGACAGAAAAGAATATTGTTAAACCAGGACAGCTAAAGATAACTTAAGTCTTCCTTTGACATATACAGAGAACCAGATGAACATCAGAAGGTACAAAAAAAGAAGTTGGTGGAGCATGTTGATGCTATGAAAAGATGCAAGCAAAATTCTAAGGTGTGGGTCTCCTCTGCTACATACAATTGCCCTTTTTAAGAGTGCATTATTGGTTTATCACTACCACAGCTCTCAAATCTTCTTCAAGTCAAACCCAACTCCACTACAGGGTTGTAGAAATCCTGCAGCATTTCTACAATGCTACCACAACCTTTTCAACAGGCCAACAAGCTGCTTCCCCCAACCTTTCTGGTACATTCATATTATCACTTGATATTCTCATTTGACTACAGAAGTGCTGAAGGGCTCTGCCAGCTGAAATTTCTGAACTTTGAGGCTTGCTTTCAAGTTAATGAATTTTAATAGCACATGCGGGAGGGGGGCTAGAAGTGCAATTAAGATTAGGGAGATAGATAGTAAATTAATGCTGATGAATAATAAAGGACTATACTTTATTCTGAGATGTCTCTTTGCAAGATTCCCTTTGATAACGATTAGTAATCTGGAGAGACTTTGCTCCATTTATCAATGATTTGCTTCCACTGAAATTCTTTGCTGACTCAGGTTCTCCATGTTATATTGTAGAAAGTGAGGCAGAAATGTCATTTGGGAGCAATATACTATTGGAAACTTAGAAGTAAAGGCAATGGACTGGATATTAGCAGAACTTTTCCTAGATTAAAAGTCGCCACTTCAGCAGGATGCCCTGAGTTGCTGAACAATCTGTGGCCCCAGAACTACCCATTAGGGATGGCTGCAATGTCACAGTCAAAGCAACCCATATTTTTTAAGAGGGGAGGGGAGGCTTTAATCCACTTCTGTGAACGCCATGCTCTCATAGTCTGGTGAGCCCTTTTTCATGACTTCCAGAGCCCATTTAAGTTCTGCCAAAAGTTAATGGCGAGTGCTGCCCACTCCAAAGTATTTGTGTGCAGTCCCTAGACCCCCAACGGGCCCTTCCCCTCCTTTCCAGATGCCTCATATCATCAGTCTTCACTCTCTGCATCAACCCTGGCATGCTTATCTGGTGCCTATTTTATTGCCACAGCCAATCCCTAAATTTTACACATTGTTGTGCAAAATATACATAGTCCTTGACCACAGTTGAACCCAAAATTTATGTTGCTAAGCAAGACAGTTATTAAGGGAATTTTGCCCTATTTTACGACCTTTCTTTCTACAGCTATTAATTGAATCACTGCAGTTTTTAAGTTAGTAACACCGTTGTTAAGTGAATCTGGCTTCCCCATTGACTTTGCTTGTCAGCAAGCCACAAAATGTGATCATGTGACCCCGGGGAAACTGCAACCACCATAAATACATGCCAGCTGTCAAGCATCTGAATTTTGATCACATGACCATGGGGATGCTGCAACAGTCATAAGTGTGAAAAACGGTCGTAAGTCACTTTTTTCAATGCCATTATAACTTTGAACAGTCACTAAACGAGTGGTTGTAAGTCAAGGACGACCTGTAACTAGGGAGAGCTGGAACAGTAACAATTTAATTATTAAAGACATGAGGAGACCTTGAGACAGTCATCATCTCAGCCTAGCCTAGCTAACAAAGCAAGCACATGCTAAACCAAAACCATTCCCTCTTCTCCAGCATACAGTTCTCTCAAATAGAATGTTTTCCAGGATTAAAAAAAAAAACAATTGTAAAGAAAGAAGTTCTAGATTTCTTTTAGTAATGATTAGTTTAATTTTAAAGAATAGGCATTTCCTCTATTTATTTTTTTTACTATTTTCCTGGCCTCCTAAATGTAGTCTTTTGAGTGGATATAAACTATTTTTGCAAAATTTGAAACTCTGCAAAGAGACCAGTGCATGCTATTGATTACAATGTCATTATTTTGAAATAAGCTATTCATTGATCATAAACAATGCCCTGGCAATCTGAGAAGGTTGAATGAGAAATAGAAAGGTATGGCATTTAGACATGCTGGCACGAAAATATCCTTCTTATCAGGAAAAAGATGAGAAGGCTGATCTTTTTGGATAACTTAGTCATCTCTATTCTCTTTCTCTTCCAGTGCTGACCTTGCATCTAGCAAATACTGCTGCCTCGGAACAATTAAATTCAGGCAAATTATAAAATATTCGGTCATATGATATGTCATGATTTAACCACAGTTATGAGATATGCCATGATTTAAAACCCAAAACAACCTAGGATGCTAGAAAACAGAATGATTAAAATAGCATCTGCATAGGTTAACAACATAATAACCCATTTAAAATTCAGAAGAATGAAAATTGGCAAGCTTGTCTTAATGAAGGTGCAGAGGTGCATAGGATGAGTTGAGGTGTCAGAGTGCTGCATTCTTTCTATCCTAAAGTTCAGGAACGTTGCTAAAGAAAATGGTATGTTCCCGTCCAAGGCTGGCAATAGTTCTGGGCTGTCTTGGGGCCTGCTTGGTAGGCCAATAATATCCTGGACCAGGGACTTTCTGTACAGAATAAGAAACAAACAAGATCATTAAGAAATAAACGAAGGGAGGTTTCTATAACAAAACAACAATGCTAGTATTTAAAGCTAGAATCTTGTTTAAATCGCTCTGTGGTTTGTTTGGTTTTTTTTTAAATTATTTGCTACAAAAAAAAAAACAACAGCCACCCTGCAAAGCACTTTTGAACTGGTACAGCTTGGATCTATCTATCTGGAATCGGTCTGAATTGAAGAAGATCATCTAGGAATATCCTGTTAATTTCACCATTGTTTCAAAATATTGATATAAGGAGTGTAAGACCTGGTTCCTAACTATTCTAAATTCCCTACTCTTTTGGCCCTCCCTGACTAGAGCAGCATTTCTCAACCTCAGCAATTTTAAGATGCTTGGACTTTAACCCCCCAGAATTCTCCAAGCAGCAACACTGCTTTACAGCATAGTAGGGTTGTCTAAGATGTCCTTAGCAACCATAACCAAATTCAGGTTGATTAGAATTACAGTCCTTGAATCATAGACTTGGAAAGAGGCCATTCAAGCTATCAGGTCCAACTCTTTTCTCAGTGCAAGAATCCAAATTAAATTATACTAACATTATGGTATGACTCATATGATTAAAGATAATGGATTGTATTCATCTACCAAACTAAAATATAATATTACAAAAATCACAGACACGTGCCTAGTTTTCACAGTAGCTTTATGTTTGCTGCCAATGAATGTTAGAAAGCAGGATGAATAAGCTTGCAACTGCAGGATGAATACTGCTAAATGAAACATTATACCGGTAGTCCTACATTTACGACCACAACTGAGCCTAAAATTTATGTTGCAAAGTGAGATATTTATTAAGCAAGTTTTACCTCATTTTACAACCTTTCTTGCTACAGTTGTTAAGTAAATCACTGAGTAACATGATTGTTAAGTGAATCTGGTTTCCCATTGACTTTGCTTGTCAGAAGGTTGCAAAAGGTGAACACATGATGCCAGGACACTGCAACCATCATAAATATGAACCAGTTGCCAAGCATCCGAATTTTGATCACATGACCATGGAGATGTTGCAACAGTTGTAAATATGAAACAGAGTCATAAGTCATTTCTTCAGTGCCATTGTAACTTTGAACGGTCACTAAACAAATGGTTGTAAGTCAGGGACAACCTGAAACGGACTAGAATGCCCCTATGTTTGGGCTTCTTCTTGATCTTTCAAGACTGAGCACACTTCCTTATTCCAGGTTGCCCAAATTCAGAAAAGATCCCATGTATATTGTCAAGTGTTCTGCATTTCCTTCTTGGCAAAGGATGGGCTGCACCTCACAAAAACAGGGGGAAATGTACTTGGAAAAAGACTGGCCCAACTCATCACGAGGGCTTTAAACTAAAATTGAGCGGGAAGGGTGATCAATCTTCAGAATCAATAGAACCCAAAACCAATCATAAATCCCAAGAAAACAAATCAAACGATGATGTGGGCAGAGCTGAGAAAAAAGAAAAACTCAAACAACATTCAGGAGGTGCCGGAAACATACCCACGCACAGGCACAAAAACCTAAATGCTTATATACAAATGCTCAAAGCTTGGGGAACAAACAGGGCGAACTAGAAGCAATAGTACACGAGAGAAGGTATGACATAGCTGGTATTACAGAAACCTGGTGGGACGAAACCCATGAATAGAATGGACTGATGGATGGATACAAATTGTCAAAAGAAACAGGTCTACAAAAAGAGGAGGGGGAGTTGCACTATAAGTAAGACAACACTACATATCTACAGAAACGTACATGATCAAAGATAAAATCTCTCCAGAATGCATATGGGTCAATATAAAAGAGGAAAAAATTGACATTACCATAGATGTATATTACAGACCGCCCAACCAATCAGAAGAAATAGATCAGTGGTGGGATTCAAATATGTGAACAACCGGTTCTCTGTGTGGATGCTGCTTCCGGAAGTCCATTCTGGGCCTGGGCAACAAAAAATTAGCTACTGGTTCTGCCAAACTGGTGCGAACTGGCTGAATCTCACCCCTGAAATAGATGAACTCTTTGCCAACCAGTTAACAAAAGTATGTAGGAAGCAAACCACAATAGTAATGGGAGACTTCAACTATCCAGATATCAACTGGGAGACAAACTCTGCAGCGAACGGGAGATCAAACAGATTCCTAACCAACTTAGCCGACAACTTTGTCATCCAAAAGGTGGAAGAGGGAACTAGACATAAAGCCATACTGGACTTAATTCTAACTAATAGAGAAGAAATGATAGAGGGAGTTGAAATTGCCGGAACCTTGGACAAAAGTGACCATGTCATACTGGAATTTAATATAACACAAACACTAGCAATCCAACCAGTGTCTTGAACTTCAAAAGAGCTGACTTTAACAAACTCAGAGAGAACCTAGGAAAGATTCCATGGATGAAAATCCTACCCAAGCATGGGAAACTCTCAAAAATGCAATCATAAAGGCTCAAACCAGCACAATACCACTGAAAAAGAAAAACAAGAAATTCAAGAAGAAACCAGCATGGCTGCACAAAGATCTCTCTGACAAACTGAAAGACAAAAAGGACAAATACAAAAAATGGAAAGAGAGGCATATAACTAAGGCTGATTATCAGCAGACAGCCAGAGCATGTAAATATGAAGTCAGGAAAGCAAAGGCTCAGAATGAACAAAGACTTGCAACAGAAATCATGGATAATAAAAAAGTTTCTTCCAATATATTAACAACAAGAAAAAAGTCAAGGAAACTGTAGGTCCACTAAAGAGAGAAAATGGAAAGGAAATAACAGGCAACAGGGAGAAAAAAGAGCTGCTTAACTTATACTTTACATCAGTCTTCACACAAAAAGAAACCATAGCCCAACATACAAAAAAAAAACACTGCAAAAGACAAATTAGAAACAAAAATTAAAATAAGCAAGAAAATGATAAGAGAACACCTATCCGACCTTGACAAATATAAATCACCAGGGCCTGACAAATTACATCCCAGAATTCTGAAGGAGCAGGCTGATGTTATCTCAGAACCACTGCACCACATCTTTCAAAAATCCTGGAGCATTGGGGGAAGTACCTGAGGTTTGGAAAAGGGCTGATGTGGTTTCCATCTTCAAAAAAGGGGAAAAAACAGACCCAGGAAACTACAGACCAATCAGTTTAACATCAATACCTGGGAAGACCATAGAAAAGATAATCAAAAAACAGATCTGCGAACAACTAGAAGCAAACAAAGTTATAACTAGTAGCCAGCACGGGTTTGTTAAAAACAAATCATGCCAAACTAATCTTATTTCATTCTTAAACAAAGTGACTAATAGACCAGCAAAATACTGTGGACGTAGTATACTTAGACTTCAGTAAGGCATTTGATAAAGTAGTAGACCACAACCTACTCCTTGGTAAGCTAAAAAAAGGTGGAATAGACAACATCACCACTAGATGGATATGTAGCTGGCTGGCAAATCGTACTCAACGAGTAGTCCACAGTGGCACTACATCCACATGGAGAGAAGTAAGCAGTGGGGTACCACAAGGTTCCGTCCTAGACCTTCAATATCTTCATCAATGACTTAGATGAGGGAATTGAAGGGGAACTCATCAATTTGTAGGTGACACCAAACTGGCAGGAGTAGCCAACACCCTGGAAGACCAACTAAGGATCCAAAAAGATCTTGACAAACTTGAACAATGGGCCCTATACAACAAAATGAGTTTCAATGTGGAGAAAAGCAAAGTTTTACATTTAGGCAGGAAAAACCAAAGGTACAAGTACAAATTGGGTGAGACCTGGCTTAAAAACAGTAACTGGGAGAGGAACCTTGGAGTCCTAGTGGACAATCACTTGACTATGACCCAGCGGTGTGCAGCAGCAGCCAAAAAAGCTAATACAATCCTAGGTTGTATAAACAGAGGCATAGAATCAAGATCACATGAGTTATTAGTACCGCTTTATAAAACCCTAGTAAGACCACATCTGGAATACTGCAGCCAATTTTGGTCACCATATCACAAAATATATTGAGAGTTTGGAAAAAATTCAGAGAAGAGCAACTAAGATGATCAAACGCTTGGAGACTAAAAACATACGAAGAACGGCTGCAGGACTTGGGTTTGGCTAGTCTAAAGAAAAGAAGAAATAAGGGAGACATGATAGCAGTATTCCAGTATTTGAGGGGCTGCCACAAAGAAGAGAGGGCATCAGAGGGCAGGACAAGAAATAATGGTTGGAAACTGATCAAAGAGAGAAGCAACCTGGAATTAAGGAGAAACTTCCTGACAGTGAGGACAATTAACCAGTGGAACAGCTTGCCTCCAGAAATCATGGGCGCTCCATCACTGATGATTTTTAAGAAGAGGCTAGACAATCACTTGTCTGAGATGGTATAGGTTCTCCAGCTTGAGCAGGGGGCTGGACTAGAAGACCTCCAAGGTCCCTTCCAGCTCTATTCTATTCTATTCTATTCTATTCTATTCTATTCTATTCTATTCTATTCTATTCTATTCTATTCTAATACATCAGCCAACCAGTCTGGTCTTCTCCATAACTGGATTTTATTTCCATGGATGCAATTTAATAATACCTGAATCTAAGTAACATTTACTGTCTCCATGTTTTCCTTTATATCTTGAAAATACTAGGTTCCCCCCTCCCCCCACCCAAAAAAGAAAGCTGCAAATCCAAAGGCTGAATATGGAATGTCTCCAAGAAAGGCAGAAACCCCAAGTCAGCCCTATAGCTGCAAGCACAGTTTGAGCCATTTTCAATATTATACTCACAGTGTGGGCTGGCAATATTCGTGGTACTTTTGATATGAAGGACGATCGTATTGGAACTGGCTGGACATCCTTTATTTCATACTCACCTGGGCCTGGACCTTGTTTCTACAATGTAATAAAATGCTTCTTTTAAAAAGGTTCCATATGCAAAAATACTTCCATAACGCTGTTATTCCTAGCATGCTGTAGTCTTAAAGACATTACTCTGCTAACATAATCAACAGTTTTACTCAATGTAAGACAGCTGCTCAATACTTAAAATACATGCAGCATATTTGATAGCATGGATAACATTTGCAGCATCTCAGTGGGTTATTTTATTTGTACTATTGGAGAATTATGCCAAATAAGATTAATAATCATGAAACTAATACATATCCCACCCACCAATTAACATCTTCTGAAAATGTAATATAGAAACTGAAAATCTAACTTAAGATACCTAGTACTGATATCCATCCATCAATTATCTAAATAGCACTTTCTAATTCTGTGGTTCTCTAGTCATCCTCTAATATATGTACTTTATTTCAACCACATGATGACCACAAAAGTTAATGTAGAAAGGAAACATTTGGATTTTATGAATTTATGATTTTTGTAGGACCAACATCAGGGACTAATCAGGTTGGACTCAACAGTTTGCACTTTGCCTATGATGAGTGTATGCTATTCACATAGATTCAAGAACTTACATTGATTTATTGCCCAAAATTTGTTATTAAACTCCTATAACAACTGAATCTGTGTGTATCTAGAAAAATATTGGAACATTAAAAAATATTGGAAAATATGTTCACATAAAGTGAACATTACATGTCTGTTTATCCTGAACTGTCCATTCAAATTGGCACCTCCTTTGCAGGAATTTAGATGGAGATCTTTTTTACTATATGATCCATTCTTAACTGGAACAGATCATGTATTGTTTATGTAGAACCAGGAACAGATCATGTATTGTTTATGTAGAAAGGGATGGGAACTGGAATGATCCAGTTAATTCATCCCTGCTCCCTTCCTGGGCATAGGAAACCCAGAGGAAAAGAGCTTATTTTTATTTAGGAAAAGTAGAAAGAGCTAAAAGCTAAGTAACACTGATTTTGACAGGTTTGCAAGCCCCTGGAGTAATTACAGGATATCAGCTTTTGGTTTACAAAAAGAAATAATCATATTTTAAATGTAGAAACAACTGACACAGATCTTTTGCTGACTCATTTGCTAACAAAGGCATTTGCACTAATCAATCTATTCTCAACTACCTAGAGACAAAAATGACACTAACTAGTAGAGCAATAATTTATTTATTGTTATAAGACAAGAAAATAAATCTGTCTATAGTTTGGAGATAGGTTAATATTTGTCTGTTGCTATTTCTGTGTTCCTATGTTAGCATCTGTCATGTTCCTTTGAGCATAACACTCCTGCTTTTCTACATATTTGAAATAATCTCATCTTCTGTGCAGGTGTGTTCATACCTTTTTCCACTGGGGCAACTCAGTTTTATTCTTTTTATTCAAGATACAAATTTAGGAGGATTTTCCATGCAAATATTTCTGAAATTTTCAAACAGGCATAACATAGTGGCATTTTTTTAAAAAAAGCAGCCAATGGGAAGTGAATCATAACGAATTGTCAAGGATTGTAACCACAGATAATTTAAGAGCTTTTGATAAGCATATAAGTTGCATTTTAGGTAAAAATAAAATCACGTAGCTATAATAAAAAGACAAAAGACAAAATAAAAATTTTCAGGACTATAATATTATAATAAAATATGAATAGGCCCATCAAAATATAATACAGGTTATCCTCAGTTAACGACAACAATTGGGGTCATAATTTCCATCGCTAAGTGACAAGGTCAAAAAGTGCAGTGCCGTGTGACTGCATCACTTAGTAACACCAATTCCAGCACTTTCTCATTAAGTGAATCATTGCAAGTCATCAAGCAAGGACATCATGTGGTCACTATTTGCGACCTCCTGCCAGCTTCCTCATTGATTTTGCTTATAGGAAGCTGGCCAAGAAAGTCACAAATGGCAACAACATGACCATGGAACACTCTGGTGGCTGGAATTTTGAGAATCAGTTGTAAGTACCATTCAATTCAGTGCCATCACAAGTTTGAACAGATGCTGAACAAGTAATCTTTAAGTGAGGACCACCTACATATCAGCATAATGAATACATATACAATGTACAACTTTTATTTTTATTCTTCTATCAGTTGTAGAAATATACAGTTTTTGATAATCAACTTTTCCAAAATGGTGGGCCCCAGATGATTTTGAGATAAAAGTCTACCACACAATGATTTTAGCATACCTAAAATCTAAAATTTAAAATTAGAAGGAATATGCATTGGCAGAAAGAGTTGAAATACTTCCTGGGGTATGTCTGCCACAGTTTTCCCCTCACTGTACAAAATATCTTCACCTACCAGATATACCTAAAGAAGATCCAAACCATGTAAAGCCAAGGGATGAGGAAGACTGTTAAAACAGTACTTTGGCTCAAAGAAAAGAGAGATCCACAGATATTCTCTTTATTATTGATTTTATGTTCTTATATTAATAAATCTAGTGATTCTTTGGATTTTTCCAGTCCACATATAGTGATCCCAACATTCCTCTATTTAAAAAATACTTTTTTAAAAAGTGCCATTTTTTTTTCTTCAGAGTCCACCTTGGAACATGTTTCAGGAGAAAAGAATGGAAAATAGTGACTCAGTAGAACCTCAGTAAACTTGAATAAATTTCATCTCTAAAAATAAAATAAAATTAAGAAACAGTGGTTAAATGTTGGTTTGCTTTGCATCCTAAACTATCTTCCTGCTATACCTGAGAAAGAAACTACAAACTGAAGTTCATTGCAACGCTGTCTCTTTATGCAGAATCTCCATCCTGTCCATGCCTAGCCCAAAACAATGGTCATTTATTTCCAATACAGTGAACAACACATGCAAAATCATCCTTTGAGCATCAATAGCTGAGCAGCCTTAGTTTTCACCTGCAAAGAACACCCAGGTTGCAGCTGTTCCAAGACAGGCAAACACTAAGACGTCAGTTCCAGTTCATTTGTTGCAAAATATTGGATAGCAGCTGTATCAATAACTCATTTAAATAGTAGTTGTTTACATGGAACGGCTCTTCTGTCACAAGAGGCCACCTGGAACAAGGTCATTAATGAGATCCTCAAGGATTTTCAAATGAAAGGTTAACATCTATTTAAAAGCCAAAAAAAAAATCCTCAGACAATTCATATTATACCTAGCTTGCTGCTACTCTTACAGAATGAATTCTGATGAGCTACTGTAAAAAAAAAATTATGATCCTTCAAAAATGTTAACCTGATCTGGAAAAATAGAAGAATTAGGCTCTTGAAGTTAAATTTGCCCTCTTATTTTTGCAAGGCTTATGACCTGGCTGATATTTCAGAATTAGCCATGTATTTGGAAAAATAGAGGCATTTAAATCCTAATCCAAACAATAACAAAAACAGTGCTAGGTTGCTTTTTTTAAAAAAAAAAAATCATACAACCAAGCATAACTTTCTTGAAAGGAAAAAAGTGAATCACATCTCCCAAGGAAGAGGCCTAGCCCAGTGGTGGCGAACCTATGGCACGCGTGCCAGAGGCGGCACTCAGAGCGCTCTCTGTTGGCACACACACCACCGCCACCAGCAGCAGGTGCCTCAGGCCACCACTGCCCCCTGGGGAGGAGCCCCACCCAGCACAAAGGAGGTGAAGCGGCCAACTAGCAACCTCGAGTAGGGGTGGTAGAGCAGAGGTCACCAACCATTGTTGATTGGTGGACTGGAAGAAAAGGGAGGGGGAAGCATTTTACATGCATGCATGCGTGCACGGGTCTGCGAGCACACACATGCTGCAAATGGAGCGGGGCTAGTGCCTATGTGATACTCACTAGCCCTGCCCTGTTCTTGCATGGTGCAGCGCCTTGTATCTGTGCCCCACGGCACGGCCGTTTTTGCGCCTTGCAGCATGGTGGCCCATTTTTGCGCCCCCGGTTTTTGTGTGCCAGAGGCAGCACTCAGAGGTGCCTCCCTGCCCCCCCATGAGGGCACCACAATGCTGATGCGGCCCTGGCACTTTGCGATAAATAAGTGGGTTGTAGGTTGCAGTTTGGGCACTCGGTCTCTAAAAGGTTCGCCATCACTGGCCTAGCCTATAAAGCCAATGAAAAATCCAATATGTTTTAAAGCTTGCTGACAGCATGTTTCCAATTACATAAACACTAAGGTGATCATGCTTCTCCCCAATTGCATCCTTTTGCCTTGATTCACAAGTTCAAAATGGTATACAGTAGGTTTTCCAGCTTGAGCAGGGAACTGGACTAGAAGGCCACCAAGGTCCCTTCCAGCTCTATTCTATTCTAAAAATAGGATCACTTCAACCTGACAGTGATCGTTTAGAACTCAGTTGATAGGTAGTAAAGTTGATGTAGATGCAGAGTCGGAGAATGGGTTGAGAAAGAACCTGCTTTTCAGAGGGTATGTTCTTACACCTTTTCTCTTGCTGTTGTCTCAGGGTAAAAGAGTATTATGTTCTGAAACCACACAAAGCTGTACCACACCTATTTATAGGATACAAAATCGAGGTGGTTTTGCACACAAACAGCAACTGACTTTCTAACTTCTTCATTGCAAGGCAGAAAAAAATAGCGATTCCAAACAATCAGATAAATCCAGCTATGAAACTTGGAATTGAAAGCATAAAAGATGTTGTGACACGATAAAGGGGGAAAAATTATACACATTTTCCTCAGTTTTCAACGAACAAAAGTTTACAAGGCCTTTAGAAGTCCATAGTTTCACTCCATATTGTATAGACATATTGCCTCACCTCAAGGAGGTGGGTGTTCATGAGAAGGTATTCATGCGTGTTTAACTATGTAGACAGAGCTCATACCCCAAGGAAGTATCCTGATTAAGCAGCAGGATCTTCTCTTGCATCTGACTCCCTGCATATATATTTATGTGCATGGAGAAGTCCTTCCTATCAAATCTAATAGATATGTCAGAGAAGGGAGGGAAGAGGCATAAGTCCACTGGAGTTGGGAAGCTATAACAAATTTGAATAGCAATAG